TTTATGCTGGAATACACTGCCACCAATGACTAGGTCATTAAAAGCGCAAAAGTCCGTGAAAGGCTCGCCATTTTCATTCATTTCTCCAAGGGCCTGGGTTCCCATAATCAATTCTTTTCCAAGGTTGTCTTTTCCTATCTTGGTATTCAGGTCACCCATCAGTATCTTGATGTCATTGACCACTGTCTGGAGGGAATTGTAGAAATTTTCCTTTGCTTCCGCATCAGCGTCGTTAGTAGGCGAGTAGCATTGGATGAATGTAACGTTTCTTCCCTTGGAGTTGAACGTTGCTGTCATGATTCTAGGAGAGCCGGGCTGCCATTCCATAAGGGTTCTGGCTGCTACTGGGGACATCATGATGGCAACTCCTTCTGTGTGGTCATGATTCTCGTCTGCATGTCCCGAGTAGAGGATTTTCTCTCCACTGGCAAGTGATGTCATGCCAGACCCATTCCATCTGCTCTCACAGATTCCTAGTACTTGAATGTTATATCTTTTCATCTCACTTGCCACTTGAGCTGCTTTTCCAGTTTCGTACATGGTTCGTATGTTCCAAGTTCCAAGTTGTTGTTGCTTTCATCGTCAGGAGATTCGTCAGCTGGTTGGCTTCCATGCGGCTTTCACCAATCTGCGTCATCTGTCCTCCTGTAGAGGCATCTCCCAGATTAAAGCACTGATTGGATTCTTCTGTTGTTTTGGTTTCTGTAGCATGTGAGGTTTTACGGGGTGGGGTTGCTGGGCCCACGCCCAACCCTCCTCCTTTCTCACCCGGGCTTGGGACCGGGTGAGAAAGCTACTTATTAATGGTCTACCAACATTCATAACTGCATCACTACTGAATAGGAGTGTAGCCATTTTATTACCAAAATATTGAATGAAACAGGACACATTGATGCAAGAGAGATTTTATTAACAGAATAGGCTTGTCTTAACTTGAAAATGCAGTTAAAATAGCTCTTAATATCATCATTTCATATTTACTGTAATGTTGTCTTTGTGTTTGTACCAGTTAAAGGTTTTGTTGCATATCAATAGCTAGTCAGACTCTTGCATATAAGCTAAAAAAAAAGTTCTCTGTCTGCAATTTTAAATGAATTAAAAAAGGACAAGAACAATGTTATGCTTGAAGAGTATTTTCCACAGCCTGGTAAACCAAATCTAATTTTCAGTAATGGCTTTTCTAATTGATCAATAAAGCATTATTAAATGATTCATTAACCATGAATAAACCCAGTATAATTTCAGGTTTTAAGAATTACAGTGCTAAAGCCAGGGGCGCTGCTAGCAGTTTTGGGCCCTATGAAAACATTTGAAGTTGGGCCCTCTACCCACAGACTGTGGGCTTTGGGGGCCCTTAGAATCGTCCTACCCCCCCCCCCCCCAACGGTGCCCGTGGCTAAAGCTAGTGCATAAGAGTTCTTTCCAATTCTGCACTACAATGCATGTCCTTACAGCTGAACTACTATTGGTAGTATTTATAAAAATAGTCCTCCTTGGATTAGCCCTGATCATTATTAAGTTGTTTTATGAAGCCTTTATTGTTTTATTTTCAGCTTGCAGTAACAACTATTGCCCTCCATAGGCACGTACAGAGTATCTGAGAAGAAAAGCCCGAGCTGCTCTCCAGTCAGCAGGAGGAAGGAGAGATGATGATGAGCAGAGTGGAGCTCTGGAGCATCTTAATCTTTTTCCTTTGGAAGACTCCTCAGAGAAGAAGGGGAATGAGGAGTATCTTAAAGAAAAGCAAGATGAAAAGGTGATGGTACTACTGCTTCTGGTACTCTTCTCCTACATGCAGAACTCCTGTGATGGAGACAGTGTTGAAGACTGTTTTTCATGTTTCCTTTCCTACATTTTATTAGTTTGAGCCCATTGCTGCCTTTACACAGAAGCGGTGTAAAACCTAATTGCCAAGATGTGCCTATATTAATATGCATACACTGCATACCACAGCAATATCAATAAATAAGATGTGGCAATATGATAAAATGCTAGTAATTTATGTATTAATAAGGCAATGTTTGTCTCAAAAACATTCTTATCACAGGCTCCACTTGATTTTTCTGGAGGTTTCAGCTACATCTTGTGGTCTTTATCACTTGTCATGATAGTTTAGGTGTTTTCACATGACACTAGTTAGCTCAGATGGTAACAACATCAAAAAGCAGTAGCTAGTTTAATGTAGATCTGCCTTTACATATACTGACCTTTTCTGGACTAAAATGAACAAGCATAAACTAAATTTTGATTCTTGTTTTTTTTTTTTTTTTTATTGTTCCCCAGGAGAGGCAGGAACGAGCCATCGGCTTACTGGTGTCTCTTGGACCCCAACCAGGGTCTGAGGTCACTCCATGGTACCTGAAAACGAGCAAAGAAAAAGAGGAAAGGGACAAAAAAGAAAAGAGAAAGGAAATAAGTGAAGAGGAGAGAGAGAAGAAGGATCGCAGACTGAAGGATAGTTTGGACCCTCTGAAAGATATTAAGAAAGCTCTAGGTGTCAAAGGCAGAAAGGAGCACAAGAGCAAGAAAAAGGAAAGAAGAGACAAAGAAGAAAAGAGCACTAGTGGAGAGATGTAAGAATATTATTTATTAAACAAAATGTTTACATAATTGCTGAGTATTATAATAAATAGTAGTAAATGTTTTGTCACAAAGCCCCACTGCACACCTGATGTGAACCATTCTCCAGTCTTCTTGTTGGCCTTGTGGGCAGTATATCCAGTGATGTTTGTGTTGACATTATCCTTATGACACACCATTTGGGAACCACTGCTCTAGTGATCCAGAATATGAAGATATTGTAAACCTGATGTTAGTTAGTTGACGGTTCTGCATCAGGCATTGATAGTAATGGGATGATATGCTGAATGCAGTCATGGAGAGAGAACAAAATGTCTTTTCTGTCTTCTGTAGCTCCATAGAAAGGTTACGTGCTGAGCGTTTACAGAGGGAGGCTGAAGAAAGGAGGAGAGCCCAGGCCCTGCTCGACCAGAGGAGCGGCAAAGGGAAGGACAGAGATGCAGCGAGGGAGATGAATGACAGGGAAAGGCCATACAACAGCGCCTTCTTCCCAGAACTTGCTCGAAAGAGACAAAGGCGAGATCGTGACAGCTGGAGAGATGAAATTTTAAAGTCGTGAAATGTGGATTGACGACTGTGATCTGTGATGGAGGGTTAGTGGAGAAGTACTGTGACCAGAGTGTTTCCAAAAGCAAATGCAAAAAGAAAGAACATAACATGGAAAGTTTGCCAAAGCAGGGATAGATACATGTAATATATACTGCTGTCAGAAAGCTGATGATGAGGCAGCTTGTAGGCCCCGGACCATCCTTTTTTTGTGCACCCAGAAGGGCACATTTCTTGCAGCAAGGTCAGGAGTCAGATTCAGCTGCAGCTACCACTGCTGCTGGTATGTTTCACTAGTAAACATGTCATCAGTGCAGATGTCAGGATTTTTTGTTTTATTTTCGGAAAGTTGTTAGAGTCACCTTAGGCACTAGGATTTTATTTCACAATGTTTTCACATTTTATAGACAAACCAATTAATGGAGAGAATAATCAGCAGATTAATCAGTAGTTGATATTTACAGTACATGCCAGGTGTAAAAGTTAGTAGTCAGCATAACACTATTTAAGGTTCATTTGTACAGTTTCATCTATTTTTAGAGGCTGATAAAATCTGTTTATTCCTCATGTCTAGACAGATGTAAATACAAAAATCAATCTAGTGTAATCAGTCTAGTGATTTGAAGTATTTCTCCATTTCTTTTGTTGGTAAGTCATATGTGTCAAAGTACAGTTGGACTTGGACTCCCCATAACAAAAGCTCAGGTGTAAATAATAGACATTTACGACAACTGGGTTCCATGAATATAATGAAGCCACTGCTTGTCATTAGTAACGCCTGTGCTTTCCCTCCTGTAACAAGTGAAAATGAAAAGAAGGCTTATTTGGAGTCATGTACAAGCATTAATGACCAACACAAATGACTGACATTACTTTTGTCATTGCTGTAATCTATTTTTCCCAAAGGTGTGTGAGGACACACTGCTCGCCTGCAATAAGTACCACTTTCATGAATGATGGTAAATGGTCAATGGTCAATGATGTTTTGTTGTTGAAACTAGTTTGTGGTGCTTTTTAATAGTTTTTGATTATGCTGATTTTGATTTGTTCATCTCAACTATTGTCTAGTCTCAAAACTCAAAAATGAACATTATAACTTTCATGAAGGAGAATTTTTTAAAAAAGTTTTCACTTGTATACTTAGTGACAACTGAGTACAGTTAACCTTCTTGTACACAAAGGCTTGAAATGTATTTATTGCTGTTAGTCCAAAATCATCTGCATATATTTTTAATTTATTATAATTCAGTTCTAATAATTTACACCATATCTCATTAAATATACCCAGAGATTTTTTTCTCTTTGAAGATGTGGTCAATTAACATCTAGCTGTAGGCTCTTTTTGTGCTTATTTAATAGGATGCCATTATAGTAGGAAAATAACATCACACCCCAAAATCCTCATGAATACTGAAGTGATAGGGCCTACTTTAAGAGATTAAAAATCCAATATAAGATCAATATAAACCCACTAATGAGCACCACATACACACCATTAGCTCCCTGTGGGAATATTATCGCAGAGATTTTGTCTGGGTATCAGGATGATGAAGCTGGACCCTGACAATGTGCGCCGTGTGTCTGACGTAGGCTTGCGGTGGAGAAAAACAGACACCCCCTCCAACACCGCGAGAAAGGTGAAGAAAGAAAAAAATTATATATATAACAGGAGAAATAGCGGGTGGTTGTTTACAGCGGTGCTCCACGAAGATGGAGACAGAGCAGCAATGTAGGTGCTGAGGATGCACAATAGAGCATCTCTCACACCGGAATATAATGAAGCCACTGCTTGTCATTAGTAACGCCTGTGCTTTCCCTCCTGTAACAAGTGAAAATGAAAAGAAGGCTTATTTGGAGTCATGTACAAGCATTAATGACCAACACAAATGACTGACATTACTTTTGTCATTGCTGTAATCTATTTTTCCCAAAGGTGTGTGAGGACACACTGCTCGCCTGCAATAAGTACCACTTTCATGAATGATGGTAAATGGTCAATGGTCAATGATGTTTTGTTGTTGAAACTAGTTTGTGGTGCTTTTTAATAGTTTTTGATTATGCTGATTTTGATTTGTTCATCTCAACTATTGTCTAGTCTCAAAACTCAAAAATGAACATTATAACTTTCATGAAGGAGAATTTTTTTAAAAAGTTTTCACTTGTATACTTAGTGACAACTGAGTACAGTTAACCTTCTTGTACACAAAGGCTTGAAATGTATTTATTGCTGTTAGTCCAAAATCATCTGCATATATTTTTAATATATTATAATTCAGTTCTAATAATTTACACCATATCTCATTAAATATACCCAGAGATTTTTTTCTCTTTGAAGATGTGGTCAATTAACATCTAGCTGTAGGCTCTTTTTGTGCTTATTTAATAGGATGCCATTATAGTAGGAAAATAACATCACACCCCAAAATCCTCATGAATACTGAAGTGATAGGGCCTACTTTAAGAGATTAAAAATCCAATATAAGATCAATATAAACCCACTAATGAGCACCACATACACACCATTAGCTCCCTGTGGGAATATTATCGCAGAGATTTTGTCTGGGTATCAGGATGATGAAGCTGGACCCTGACAATGTGCGCCGTGTGTCTGACGTAGGCTTGCGGTGGAGAAAAACAGACACCCCCTCCAACACCGCGAGAAAGGTGAAGAAAGAAAAAAATTATATATATAACAGGAGAAATAGCGGGTGGTTGTTTACAGCGGTGCTCCACGAAGATGGAGACAGAGCAGCAATGTAGGTGCTGAGGATGCACAATAGAGCATCTCTCACACCGTGTTTAATTGCGGATTAGAGCGGGGGGGAGGAGGACAGGGAGGAGGGGGGAGAGCACAACAAGGAAGGGAAGCAGACGCTCTTTTTTATTAGGAAAAAAGCGGAGGGGGAAGACGGAGACAGCGTGAGCCCGGAGACGGCACAGACTGTGGCGGGGGGGGGGGAGAGAGGAGGACACCGAAACTGACAGTCGGCAGCGTCGCTCGGATGGTGGTGTTGTTGCTCCGGACGCGGCGCAGATGCGGCCCGGGTGATGGTAACGCTGGCGGGGATCATGTCGTACTTCAGCCCCGAGAGAGTCCTTGGAGCCCCGCAGAGGGAAGGTGAGCAGAAGAGTAGGAGGTGGTGGCGGGGTTAAGATGTGTCAGTGATGCTGGAAAAAAGAGAGAGTGGAAAGGCCTCTCTACACTGTATTATGAGCCGCTATGACTGAAACATAATGCGAATTTTACTATTGCAGTACGTCAGGAACGAGGCAGACTGGGTGATGGGTAGGGTACCATATTTGCATGCAGTGATACAAATATTGGGGTGGGTGGGGGTGTTTCGATCTTGGGCCTCATATCCATGGCATTTAAAAACACCATATACTGTGTGAATAGCAGGCTAAAATCGTCGGTCAGTGCCATATATTTAGTCTATAAATAGCCTCCGCTTGGCACTGGAGATTATTTAGCCTGTTAGCCACTGCTGGGATCTTTGTTTTTCTCAATCTGAATATGCCTTCTTCCCCCAAGATCTGTTAGTGTTGTGTTTGTGTAACGTGTGCAGTCATTTTATGGTGGTGTATTGTTTTGATAAGAGCTGTTGGCACTGGGACTGGTGAAAAAGGCCTAGGGTTCGATTTATATGCGGTGTCTGGCTGGACATCTGTCTAGGGAAATATTGAAGAATAGAATTGCACAGGAATTGGGCATCAAGATCAGAGCCACTAGTTATGTCTGTGGTGCATGTTTAGGTGACTGCAATGCCAGATAGGGTCATTTAGATTTCACATTTAGCCCCCTGTTGCAGGTGCCTTGGTCAACAGTAAACTATAATTCCCTGTTTCCTGGGCTAGAATTGATTGATTAATTTATTGGAATGCAGTGTTTTCATTTATCAGCAACAGATCGGATCATGCAGTAGCATACACTTCAATAGCAGGATTGTTTTATATTCTCAGCACATCCTCATGTACCTTTGCTCAGGCTGTCTGTGTGAAACAAGGGAATCCTGTTCTGTCTGTGTTGCAACTTTTTGTAAGACAACAGCAAATAGAAGTGATAAGGAACAAGGCCTACACACTGACCTTACAAATACCTTTATAACTTATATTTTTAGTGGGTTATTAATCCTCTTGTTTCAGTATTTAGTAAGTTGGTCAATTCTTAAATATGCTCTGGAATTAATGTATGCAGTGTTTACAATATCACAACCTTGTGAGTGAATGTATTTTTGGATTTTTAAGAAGGACACACAGAATGAAGGTGAGATATTTTAAGTCAGCACAGGCTTAGAAAACATAGGCAAAGTTATACATTTCCAAAATATGGCTTAATGTATATGTGACCTCCCAGGTTATTGTCATTAACTTTTCAAAAGCATTTTGATTATTGCTCTTATTTATAGTTATTTTTATTGCAGTGTAGTATTTTTAATAATTGTGCAGGGTTTCATGCACCAACATGAGGTGAAATTACTATAAACCTGCCATTGTTATGTTTGCTGCCTAAAATGCTGCTTCGTTTGTACAGTTTAAAACGATATTTACTTACTGCCAAATATGGCTGTCCTTTCTTTAGCTTGAGTTGGACACCTTCAAGGTCACATTGCTCCTCTCTCTTGTCATTTGTCCAAATGGATAACGTGTGTGACTATAATATTTAAATGCAACCTATAGATAAAACCTGAAGGGTATTTAACGGCCCTGCCCTACGCCTTTTCTTTTCTACAGATGGTTCACTTCCCACAATCAACTACGTTGAGGTACAAATATAAAATGTCCCAATCCCTCCCTCTCTCACCTGAGTAGTAAACCTTCCTGATTTGAGTAATTCTTTCCCAATTTTCCAATCCCTTCCCAATTAGCGCTCCTTTTGACCTAAATTACAACTCCAGCCACCCCTCCCCTGCTTCTTAACTGTGTTTCCTGAGTGGAATGCCATTTCTGATATTTCCCCATTCCCTGTGCTTTTTTCCTACTTTTAAACTTTAATTCCAGTCTCAGTTTTCTTTTACTGATTCTGACTATGTTTTTGAATTTAAACTTTTTTTTCTTTGCTTTTGTCCCCCGAATCCCTGATGCAAACTGCCCATTGGGGTTCTCCACTGTGTCTCAAACCTGCTGCTAAGAAAGCACTCCAATGGGTTCCCTCTAAATAAAACACCTATGTACCAAGAGTTTTTGATTAAGCGAAGTCACTGACACAAACCTAACAGTGTGTCTGCCCAAACAAGCTGAAATACCCTGAGTTTCTGTATTAAATCCTTTCCTCCCTTGTATTTTCTTCCTGTCTTCCTCCCAGTTTCTCAATCCAGGCCTGCATCCCTCTCTCCTCCGCCGTACGTCGTCATCATCATCTCTTGCTCGGGGCTCATCTCTTTTGTTCTGCTGCTCCTCACCTGCTTGTGCTGTAAGAGAGGAGGAGTGGGATTCAATGTAAGTCTTCAACATGTAAGAGATTTATTCACCTCATTTATTATTTTGCTTTCTTTCTTTGTTTTGTCACAGTATGTTTTTTGTATCAGTTGACTTGATAAATTGCAGGAGGATTTAATTTGGAAATGGTAACAGGAGTCAGTAATTCCAACATAATAAAAGAGAAATTTTCAGTATCATCCTAGTCCAACCTGGCAGTTCTGCTGTGTAGCTGGCACACAGCAGCTTCTTTCTCATTGCCTGCCCTTGACATTACTGCTTAATACAACCATATTTATAATTGAAACTGTGCTGTTTAAACATTATTTTTAATTGTACCACTACTATTATGATTTGTCTGTATTGTTGCTGCTCAACCAGGAGTTTGACAATGCAGACGGGGAGGAGTGCTCTGGAGGCTCCAGCCCCATCCAGGAGGACAGCCTATCGTCATGTCCCTCCCTCCCTGAGGTTTACACCTTACCAGTCAGAGACAGGTCCAACTGCAATGCTCTGCAGGATGGAGCAGGTAACAGCCTTCAACAGCTCTCCCGTTCACTGGCTGAAGCTCTGCTCTGAAGAGTCTGAAACTCTAAGTGTGAGCTGATAAATTCCCTCAGCATCTGTAGCTGTAATCACTGATGTGGATCCATTAAAGGTCTCAAACTGGGATCACAACCAGCAGCACTGGACTCGCCACTAAACCTCAGCGAAGTGGAAACTACAGTCTGAGAAAAATCTGTATTATTGCTCTGTATGAGCAGGCCATGTTGGAAATTTAGGCTGACATGCAGTGACGGGGGTTTGTGCCCAAAAATCTTTGGGCCACAGGATGGTATCAGCTAGACACACAACAATTTGATGTACCAGCTTCTCATCTTGAGAATGTGGTGTCTTCCTTGTCTTACCACTGTAGTAAATTGAATTTCCTCTGGTTTTAGACTGTTTGTTAGATAAAACAAGACAAATATGTGATTTTCATTGTTTTCTGCTGTCAGAAATGAAAATATATTTCAGTTACAACTAAGAAAATAAGTGGTAGATGAATCAACATGACAATAATTATTATTTTATTTGGTCAGCACACCTTTGGGAACAGATTTTTGTCTCAAGAAGAGTTATGAGTCTTTCAATATTTTTTCAGTGGTAGCAAAAATGTGCGGTAGTTGGTAATTAAATGTTGACTGTCCCAGTGAGCGGTATATCAGTCTTTTCAACAGATTTTAATTCACTGAATATGACAGTATAATGTCACATACCAACAACTGTGTGACACCAATCTTTATTTATGTCTCTTATCCTTTGCAGACTCCAAGTCTCAGTTCTTTAAAAGACATGCTTTAAACTACCTTCAAGAGATAGGAAATGGCTGGTTTGGAAAGGTAAGATGATCTCCTCTTGCTTTCAGACATCATGCTCTGGTGTTTACATGTAAAATTTACAAAAACCACATCATACTGTAGATTTTCCTTATTGTATGCTTTGCACTGTTATATTTAATATTGGTTAGTTCAAAATAGTACTTTTACTGCTGATCTCTTTCTCCTGGCGCTTGTCCACATCCATCGATCTCTCCTAGGTGATCCTGGCTGAAGTGTTGTGTGACTGCAGCTCATCTCAGGCTGTGGTGAAGGAGCTGCGGATCAGTGCCAGCCCTCTGGAGCAGAGAAAGTTCTTGGCTGAATCTGAGCCATACAGGTGGGAGAAACTCAGGTAGTCATTTTGGGGAATTAAAGTGAGAATATGTAAATGAAGCTATATAGCAGCACTGTGACAATTATGGAATAATGGCAAATTTCTTGTAACATTAGCACGAACAAAGAAGAAGAGTATTCAAGTTTGTGACTCAGTGATTTGCTAACAGCGGCAAACATTAGCAACCTGGATAATACTTTACATTAACTACCAATATTAATCATTCATCAGCAATAAAGTAACATTAAATAAATGGTTTATAGCACATGATAATGTAGTTGTACACAGATACAATTGTTAATCAATGTATTTGTCAAGAACTATAACCCATCATGTGGTTACCCTTAAGCAGAGGCCGGTGCATAAACAAGTTATGAATATGTGCTAATATATGCAGAGTTTATAATATAAAATATGTTTTCATAACAGAAGTCTTTATTGGTAAAGACTTCAAATGTCCTTTTAGCTACAACCAAATATACTGTATTATAAAATTTTGAACCATTATTAAATGTTTGCATGCTGCTTATGAATGATTAATAGGGATACTGAAAGTAAAGTGTTACTGCCATGTGGTGATACTGGACCAAGTAAGGCTATATTGGCAAAGTCCCTGTGTGCATTAAACAGAGAAAAGGTGCATTTTACTGCTCATGAAATCATTTGTAAGGGAAAGACTTGTTACAGTGGGTACGGAAAGTATTCAGACCCCCTTAAATTTTTCACTCTTTGTTATATTGCAGCCATATGCTAAAATCATTTAAGTTCATTTTTTTTCCTCATTAATGTACACACAGCACCCCATATTGACAGAAAAACACAGAATTTTTGACATTTTTGCAGATTTATTAAAAAAGAAAAACTGAAATATCACATGGTCATAAGTATTCAGACCCTTTGCTGTGACACTCATATATTTAACTTAGGCTCTGTCCATTTCATCTGATCATCCCTGAGATGGTTCTACACCTTCATTTGAGTCCAGCGGTGTTTGATTATACTGATTGGACGTGATTAGGAAAGCCACACACCTGTCTATACAGGTATGTGCCAAAAAATTAGAATATCAAGGAAAAGTCCATTTATTTCAATAATTTGTTTCAAAAAGTGAAACTTGTATGTTATATTAGTTCACTGCACACAAAGTGAAATATTTCAAGCCTTTATTTGTTTCAATTTTGATGATTATGGATTAAA